TGTAGTAAGAATAAGTATAGTGATATGAAGATATATACTATATTCTAATTGTTTAAATATTCAAATTATTCAAATTTTTCATCTTGCACAGTATTTATTAGGCTTGCTAGTACTAGGCTATATATGTGACTTATAGATATTCTCAAATAAAGAATTCCAAATTATTTTCTAGCATGCTTAATAATTATTTACATGCCATTGTCAGGCTTAATTACAAGACTTATTGCTATTCTAATTTCTGTTGTTGTTTTTCAATAGGGTAAAATATCTAACCTTCAGTTATTTTTGTTCAGAAATAACAAACTAAATAATAATAAGTATAGTGATGTGTAGATATATACTTATTTCTTAAAAAGGGTAACAAAATGATAAGAGCTCCAGCCTCGCTCAAATCTATCCTAGTCAACCATAATTACTAGGCCTAACGAAAGCTAAAAACTAAAAATAATAACTAATTATATTTAAATATTTAAATAATATCTCCAATATGATAATATAATGTCCAATAAACTATATAACTATACTAATAATAAAAATGTTCAATATAATGTTCATAATAATGCTTTTTACCAGAGAGTACTCAGTTGAACTCTCCTAGCTCTGGTAACCAAAGAGTACGTGATTGAATCTTCCTAGCTTTGATTAACATTATTAATAGTCTAAATAGATGCTCTTTTGCTTCTAGTAGTAGATGTATAGATAATTTCTTTATCTAATACATAAAAAGTATCAATTTCATCAAGATCTGATTTTTTATCAAAGTTGTATCCTATAGCTTGTCCAGTAGTGATTACAATTTCTTCAAATATTTCTCAAGGATATTGAGTATTATCCATAACTTTAACATCATAATATTGTGTAAATGTAAGTTACAAAGCTTCTTGTTTAGTTAGCAACTCTTTTTTTATAAGAAGAGTATTAGGTATAAGTTATAGATCATTTTGATCAAAATTGAGATCAAACTAAAAGTTATAGTAGAGATCTAACTTTATGTTAATATTATTTCTTATTTATATTGTAGACAGGTATAGTAATCTAAAAATAATGAGATATATAGTACATATATAATAATATGAAAATATTATATAGTGGTAATTGAAAATGATTTTTTGATTAAATTTTTAAGATTTGACATTTACTCAAAATTTTACTATGCTAACAGAGTTTGTTTATTAAGAGAATATTGTTCAGGAGGTCTGTGTGATCTTAAAGACATTGAGATCTTGTCAATTGGAAATCTGAATGGTGAGATATTGGAGTTTCAGCCTTATATTATATGACTTTAGAAAAGCAAAAGATCTGCAAAGAATTTATAAGAGACGTTTAAAATTGCTAAAACAACTTTGAAAGGTCATTCTGGATTTTAGAAAAGTTTTCCACTAAGATATAGCTTAGTACAAAAGATGCATCAGGTATTCAAAGTTTACAGTTCAAATTTCAACTTAAACGAACTAAAATTAATAGACTTTTTATATGAGTAACTAAAATTAATTAGCTCTATAGCTTTATCAACTTTATATGCAAACATCGGATTCCAGAGAGATTTTCTACTAAGATGATACTTAGTACAAAAGGTATGATATGTCTTTGAGATTATGTGGTGAAATTTTAAGCCAAACAAATGAAATTCATAGACTTGTTATAGTAAAGACTAAATATAATTTCCTTCAGAAATGAGAACTTTATCTCATAGTCACCACCAAATTATCAACCTTAGGATCCACCTCTTCAAGAATTCCTAGTGACTGCTAATTATAGTATGAAGACTATAATATTTTATAGCTTTAGATAGTTACAGGTGTCTAAGAAGGACTTAACAAAGAGAATTTATATAGTAAGGTAGATGAAAGAGACAATATGCTTAAATATGTATGAAGACATAAGTAAACATTCATACACTAAACATTAACTATCAACATAGTTAATAGAATTCAACTAACATAATAGTTAAAAGATAATTATAACAGTGTTATAAGTGAGTTTATTCAGTAAGTAACTTCTAAGAGAATATATATTTAAACCAAATCAAACTGAAAAGCTTTGGAAAAGTCAAAAGCTAGCTCTTTTATAAATATTTTATATGTATAAATAATTATAAAACTCTAATTTAAAGACTATAGTTAATAAAATATATAATATATAAATAATATAAATAAATAGAATGAGTTTATCTGCCTATTGTATAATATCTGCAGCCAATCATGTGATCTATATATGATTTACTAAAAGAAATCATATTATTTAAGTTATCTTGATATACAGGAATCCAATTTTAATGATTTTAGATTCATTAGAATTGTCTCGATAAGTTGAATCTAATAGTATTTGTTTTATTTAATTTGGATTGAAAGAACAAAAGTTATTAAGGATTTTGTATTTTTTCTTAATATTCTATATGTTAACAATATGTAACAATTTTATTTTACTTTTATCAATATCTGTCTTCCTAGATAGTTAGACAAAATTGTCTAGACTTCTTTTTTTCTTTATGCTAAGAAGGTTTTTAGTATGACAGGTCATGTTTGGACATATATACAAATAAAGTGTCAAGTAGTACTTTTCATTAGAAAATTAGATATATAGGGAGGAACTATAGGTTCTTGTATTAAGTTAAATCTTATGCAGACTAGCTATCTGTAACTCTTTATCTAATAAAAGTGTAAAGCGCAACTGTCAAAAGAAAAAAAAAAAGTTAGCAGCTTATAGTAACTCTTAGAAATAGAAATACCTAAAAGACAAGTACTCTATGAGCTAAAGCATAGATATAAGAACTCTAAATAGCTAGTAGCTTACTGCAAACCTTAACATAGAAAAGTTAAGCACAAATTACTCATAAGCTAAATAAATAGATATAAGTAATTCCAAACTCTAATCTGTAGTCTCAGATACCCTATAATCTAAAGTATAAGAGTAAGTTATCTTACTATCTAATATATATAAATAGAGCATATTAGATATATATAAAAAGAATATCAGTATATACTAAGAATAGAGTACAAAGTATGTAGTATATAGTTTATAGACAAGTTAAGTGGAGTATCTCTTTTGCATTTGATTAGATAATCTATTCTCATGATTTTTGCCTATATCAAAAACTGTGTATGATGATATGTATAGATATATATATGACGATCTAGTTAGGTTATTATTCTAGCTAGTGTTTACCTATTATAGATTTGCTAAAATGCAATATATGATCTATATATTGCATAGATCATATTCTTAATTTCTATATATAAATAATAATGTAAATGCATCAAAAAGGTAACTTTAATTCCAACTCTGCTTTAGCTTTTAAAAATCACTATATACCTATTATATCATATAGCATCACCTTGACTACCTAGTTTTGATAATTTGAAGTAACTATCACATATGACTTCACTAGTTAATAATAGTTAATTGCTATACTACTATTACTATTGTAAATTAGGAGAGCAGACAATAATGCACAGTTTAGCTAATATAGAACTGGGTTTAATAATCTATTTACTATAAGAGTAAATAATAATAATAGAGTTTTATCAAAAAACTCTTCCCGTTGATCATTTGGTCCATTTTCGGAGCTAAAAGAAAAAGCCAATAAACTCCAAAAGTATACTAAGAAACTGCAGTAAAGCTATTAACAAAAAGAAGAGAAAACCAAAGAATACATAGAACAAAAGTCAAAATTAAGAAAAGGAGCAAGAAAGCAGAAGTCAATAAGAAGTTTTCTTCAAAAAAGCTACGAAAAACAGAAAATCTTGTTGAAAAAGTGGGAATTAGAGATACCCTGTAACGTAGATCCCGTATTGTAACACAAACACGTGTGATCAAGGTAAACAAACAAACAAGAGATTTTGAATTTTTACGTATCACGTGTCAAGTATTATAAGTATACACGCCCAATCAAAACTGGATATTTCACTGGGAAAGTGGAAAATACTAAGGGAATTTGAGAAAAAAGTGAAAGTCACTTATGTAAGATGTGGAACAAAGAAAACTCTAAAGTAATCACCAAAAGGTGCATAGAAAGATATGGAAGAGAGTTATTTCAAGAAGGCAGTAGTGAAGTAGAAAGAATTGAGGAGTTTTTTGACGAAGCAGTCGCATCAGCAATGAGAATCAACAAAGAAGTAGTCACAGTTGCGAGACAATGGAGAGGAGCATTGAGAAGAATTGCAACACTAGAAGGATTAGTTAAAGTAAAAGAGATAATGTCACAAGAAAACAAACAAGAAGGAACAAACATAGAGGAAGAGAACATGGTTATCACAGAGGCAAAAATGCAAACAGAACCAATAGCCAACACAGAAAATTATGAGCAAGAAAAGGGTATAAGTTACGAAGTAGAAATGAAAACGAGTAGATTAGAGGAACAAGAAGAAAATGAGTTAATTGAAAAAGAAGAAATGGAAGATATCAGAGCAGTTGACGAAAGTCTAGAAATTAAACCAAGAAAAGATATAGTTAAGGAAAAGTTCGACCAACTCGAAGAATATATTAAAGCACGATATGATAGCTTCTCACTAGATGAAAGTATTTGGGCACCTAAGAAAGATGCATGTAAAGAGGAAGGCATTTATAAAGCAAAAGTAGCAGCAATAAACGTACTAGGAGATAACGCAGAGCAAAGAGAAAAATGCATTAGATGGTCATTAAGAGGAACTAAGCATCTAAAAGAAATTACAGAAAGATTTGCAAAAGGAAACTTATGGTGCATCCTACATTTTGACTGTAAAAGAGGATATGAAGAAGCAAAATCCAAATTCGAGAGCAATAAAGAGGAATACGAGCAACTGAATTTAATATTAGAAGAGGCACCAATTAAGAAAGCATACAAATTAAATAGTGTTAAGCAGACAGAAGAAGAAAAAGTTAAAAGCCAAAATTCAAGTAAAGAAGAAAGAGAAAAGCAAGCTAGACTAGAATTAGAGGAAATAGAGAAGAAAAGAGGAGAACTGAGAGAAAAGCAAAATGAGATACAGTTAAGTCAAACTAAAAACAAAGGAAAAGGAAAAATGGTGTATGATGAAGATAAGATAGAGAGAGAAGGAAAAGCGCAGGTAAGAAGTATCACATTTGAAGCGAAGAATGAAGAAAATAATTCAAGGTACCAAGTAACCGAAGAGAGTAGAAGGAGAAATATGCTTAAAGAAAAAAGAAAGCGCTGTGATGAAGAAGAGCACGAAGACCCAAGAGACCTCGAAAGAAGAGATCTGTTTCAAGAAGAACCTAAAACGAGCATAAATAAGGAAGAAATTTCAATAACAATATGGGACATTCCATTGTATATCTCGAGAACTCAAGTATTCAGAGCAGTAATGCACATAGGAAGAGTGATGAATATTGAGATGATTCAAGAAGGCCATATGAAAATGAGAGCAGAAGTCACTTTCGAGAGAGGCAGAATGAATAAACAGGAGAAAGAAGTCTGGGCTATACCGCTATTAAACAACGTCTTAGTTCGTATAACACCAGGACTAAGTAGAAGAGAAATTCTTGAAAATCGAAAACATCATACTACAAAACTATATAACATCCCAAGAGAAGCGAACGAAGTACTACTCTTTAGGCAAATCAGGCACACAGGAGCAAAATCAGTACATATTTTCAAAAATGCAAATGGAAATAACAAAGGGTTTGCTGTAGTTTCTTTTCAAAGTAACGAAGAGCTAGAACAAGCTAGAAGATACAGTATGTGATATTATGATACAAGGCTCTACTGGGAGAATGCAGAGAATAGTGTAAATAAATTACCATATAATAGAACAAAGCAAAAGCAAATCAATTCAGAGCACGAGTGGAGAACCAACAGAGATGAACAGATAGATACAAATAAAAACGAAGATCGAGGCAGTAGCTCAAATGAGAGAGAAAATTATATTAAAGAAGAAAGCTTACGAAAGAATGAAGGAGAAGAATCTTATAAGAAAAGAAGAACGGAAAAGAGTAGCAGAAACACAAGCAATATAGAAGGCCACAGAGAGGATAACATGTCAATAGCATATGTAGTTCAACTTATTCACGGTTTGGAAGAAAAAGTAAGTAGATGGGAGCAAAATGCTCCTAACCGCT